AAAAAAAAAAAAAAAAAAATCTAAAAATCCCCCGGAATCCAACCCATTAATGGATGGCAGGCCCACCTAGTGCTGAAGTCTAAAATAATGGATTAATTTAATAGCAAAACAAAGTTCTAATTATCTCATTACATCTCCAATATAGAATTGGAGATATATATTTACTTGAACAAAATATTCCCCCTACAAAAACTCACTCCAAGTTATTTTTATTATATGATGAAAAATACTCCATCAAAAACATTTCTTTGTGGGAATGCAAGCTGGTGCGGCCACTCTGGAAAACAGTATGGAGGTTCTTCAAAAAACTAAAAATAGAACTCCCCTACGACCCAGCAATTGCACTACTAGGCATTTATCCACGGGATACAGGTGTGCTGTTTCGAAGGGACACATGCACCCCCATGTTTATAGCAGCATGATCAACAATAGCCAAAGTATGGAAAGAGCCCAAATGTCCATTGATGGATGAATGGATAAAGAAGATATGGTATATATATGCAATGGAGTATTACTCGGCAATCAAAAAGAATAAAACCTTGCCATTTGCAACTACGTGGATGGACCTGGAGGGTATTATGCTAAGTGAAATTAGTCAGAGAAAGACAAAAATCATATGACTTCACTCACAGGAGGAGTTTAAGAGACAAAACAGATGAACCTAAGGGAAGGGAAACAATAATATAAAAACAGGGAGGGGGACAAAACAGAAGAGACTCATAAATATGGAGAACAAACTGAGGGTTACAGGAGGGGTTGTGGGAGGGGGGATGGGATAAACGGGTAAGGGGCACTTATCCCTCTTTTCTTATACAAACAGTATCATGTTGTACACTCTTACACATTTTGCTATTTTCACTTACTATATCCTAGAAATTCCTCCATGTAAATCACAGAGTTTTTCTTCATTCTTTCCTACAGTTACAAAATACCCTATCATGGTGCTTCAACCAATGTTCTTATGTAAATGTTTATTTATTTATTTTTGAGAAAAAGAGGGGGAAAAAACACAAGTGGGGGAAGGGCAGAGAGAGAGAGGGAGACACAGAATCCAAAGCAGTCTCGAGGCTCTGGCTGTCAGCACAGAGCCCGACATGGGGCTCGAACTCACAAACCGTGAGATCATGACCTGAGCTGAAGTCGGATGCTTAACCGACTGAGCCACCGAGGGGCCCCCCCAATGTTCTTATATAAATGCACACTTAAGTTGCACAACTTCTTGTTTGTGGAGGTGTACATTCAAAGTAAATGACTGCTGCATTGAAAGTAAATATACGGGTACTTGTTCACAACTGTACCTCCGGCATCCAGAAGCAGGACCCACAAATAATAAACACTTAATATATTTTTGTTGGATTGAACCGAAAGATAAATTTCTGAGGGCTTTAAAGACCTTTTATTCATTTGCACAACCCTCGTGCTTCCGTCTCCCGGGGACCCAGACTTTAACCACTCCCTACCTCCGTCACAGGACATGCAGAGGACCCAGTGGCTGGGGGCTTCAAGCCTGCAGCCGTTCAAATGTGAAAAGTTGATCAGTGTTTCTGTAATCCTGAGATACAGTGTACTTCTAAGCAATATACTCAACTAAAGGAAGACAAAGAGACTGACTTGAGTCCTCTTCTGTACCCAAACCAAAAACTGACATGAACTATATTTACTCTTTTACTGGGGGTGGGGTGCTGAAAAATGTAACAACTGTTTTTACGAAGGTAAAGGAAACTTGTAGAAAAAAAATAACGTATTACAGCAATGCCTGCTTAATAGATCCGTTGTCACTGCAGTAAATGAGACAATTTGTATCAACTATCTTACGTGTTAAATAGAATATTCGTATCTTGTGAAATTCTAGAAAGAAATGGAGAACACAGAAACGTAAAAACTTGAGACACCTCATCTTCATCATAAGATGTCAGTGCCTTACATACTCCAGACAACGCTGCAGCTGAAGAAAACACAGATGACCCTACCGTGTTGTGCGGGGCAGTACCCTTCGCACGTGACTCTGGAGCCAGGGACCCGGCTCTACCACTCAGTGGCTGTGAGACATTCGCTACGTGACTTGCCTTCTCTGGGCTTCAATTTTCTCATGTGTAAAACACGAACAATAACACTACTCCACAGACTGTGAGAATAAAAGGTGTCAAAACGCAAAGTGTTTAGAACAGTGGCGGGCACAGAAGCGCTCTGTGGACTCTGAGAGACCTGGACTGAAATACCTCTGCTACTCACGAGCTAAGCGACTTTGGGATGTTAAACTTTCCGAACCACAATCTTCCCTGTTGAGGACGTGGAGCCGCCCAGCCACCTGAGCTTCACAGAGCGTCGCGAGCACTAAGGCTCCTGGCGGAGAACCCGGCACTTGAGGAAGGAAGGCTGGAGACACAGACACCAAAAGGAGAAAATGCTCACGATGAGCAGTCTCTCCTCCTTCCATGAGGGCCCTGTGACACAAGCAGCTCTCCTGCGGCCACAAGTTCAAACTTCCCGAAACCAAATACGTGCTCCAGGAACAATACCGATTCAGACAGGCTCTAAGAACCCTGTTTCTAGTCCCTAAATGAAGGCTTATTCTTTCCTCAGACATATTTTTATTGACACACAAATAATCACCATTGCTCAAGGATAAGACGAAGTCCCAAAGGACTACCTGTCCATGCTAACTGGCGCTTTGGGTGAAAAATACACCAAGTGAAAAATAAACCCCATTACATTGGGATGAGTTGTTAGTAAGAAGTTAGAGAGTTTCCAAACTTAAATTTTAACTGTTTAACAATAACTGTGCTCATCTAGCCAACACTCGTTACACATTACACGACACCTGTTACGATGTAAAACTTACTCACGAAATAAAACAACTGTTTTACTGCACAACCAAGGGAAAAACCAATCTTGTGTCTTAGGGGAAGAAGATACTCTCTCAGATACCAGAGAGCAGATACGATTCCATGCCACTTCTCCACAGCCGGCAGTAATTATGTGTCACTGCCACCTACTGGAACACCTACTTGATACAGCACACGGTTTACACAACTACTTGAATTTAGTGTAAATTAAACAGCAAAAGCAGGAAGACCTCAAATCTGTACACTAACACTACAGCCATCCTCCATAAGCCTAAAGCTAGTTATTTACCTCAGAAAACATTAAATAAAATATCTACATGAACAATGGGGAAGAAAAACAAAGGAAAACTAACTGCATGCTGACAATACTTCAAGAAAAATTTTTTGTAACCTTAAAAGTTTTAATATATGAACTATACACTAAATGCTTCATTAGTGTTTCAATTATATTTAAAATAATCGTTTCAGTTATACCAAGATTTGTGAAACTGTATAGTTTCTTTCTACCACCTTTTTTCTAACAGATAGCTTACTTGAGCAGCTCTTGGAAACTCTGAAGGTATGTTCTGGTGAACAAAAAGGATTACAATTTCATTTGTGAATCTGACAAGAAATTGTCAACTCTTATATCTTTACATGCCTGACATTTCACTGAGCCTAAACTTCACGTCTTTCAAGAAAAAATTAATCAGGGGCGCCTGGGTGGCGCAGTCGGTTAAGCGTCCGACTTCAGCCAGGTCACGATCTCGCGGTCCGTGAGTTCGAGCCCCGCGTCAGGCTCTGGGCTGATGGCTCAGAGCCTGGAGTCTGTTTCCGATTCTGTGTCTCCCTCTCTCTCTCTGCCCCTCCCCCGTTCATGCTCTGTCTCTCTCTGTCCCAAAAATAAATAAACGTTGAAAAAAAAAAATTTAAAAAAAAAAAAAAAAAAGAAAAAATTAATCAATTTCTTATCAGAAGTAAAAACTTCAGAAGTACTTCAAATGACTGACTATAAAGGAACAATAAATTCCTTTATTGTTTAACGCAAAGAATGTTTTCCAGCCCGTATTCACAGTTTCAAAAACTCTCCAGACCCAAAACTGAAAATACCTGCACTAATGATTTGAAAATGGAACCTCCTTAGTATTCAATGAAGACTCTTAGAATAAAAAATAAAATGGAAACAAATAATAACATTTCACAGTTTGTATTTCATATGTATAAATACATAAAACTAATAGGACTATTAAACTTCTTTTACTGTGTAAGTTACACTGCAAAGGGGAGAATATACTCAACTACCTAAGTTATAAATTTTACATGAGATATATACCTGTGCTAATACAACTCCAAAATTATAATGGAATTAATGAGAATGGTTAGTTGAATCCAGAAGTATACATTTCATGTATATTATTTTGTATTCATTTTGCTTTATTTGCATTAACTTTTTTCTGAAAAGTCAAGTTATTCTAAGATAAAGTGAAACATAAAGAGGTCGGACAACGTACCTTTCATAGATGGTTTTCAGTGTCATTTGATCTGGAATCCCTTCAGTCTCTTCCAAATATAATATGAGCCATGAAGTTCGGTATGGCCACTGCTCAGTAAGATTGATCCAGCTAGCAAGCCTGTCCCAGTTGAAACTAATCTGATTGGCTCTCAGTAATCGCCCTTTAAAAAGTATGAAAACAGTTTTTTAAATTCACAGATGTGTAATATTATACTAAGCAAAACATTTAGCATATTCACAAATAATTTAAATCTTTAAACACTGCAATTTAATTTACACCACAAATTTCAACCTAGTATTTATATGGCTTCTGTAATCCAAAGAGCTGTACTGGAAAACTCCTAGGGATTAAACACAATTCTGTTTAATCCTAAAGTAATTTTTGCTGTGTCATTTGCCACCAGTGCTATATACTGCTTTGACCACATACCTGTAGGCAAAATCTTTCAGAACTATGTGTCAGTCTCAACAATCAGACAACAGAACATCAATGAACCCATGATGGACCTCATCCTCTAAAGAACTGTCTAAGTTGGTAGGTATATGACATAGTGTATTAAAAGGTGATCAGTTCTATGGGGTAAATTAATAAAGCAAGGAGTGTCAAAGAAAGAAGTGTAATTTTATCTAAGACGAAAAAGGAAGGTCTCGTTGAAAAGCTGACATTTAAGCAAAGAGTTAAGACAAGACAAGAAAGCCCATGATGCATCTCTCCAAAGAAAGATCATTACAGGCAGAAGCAGAAGCCCTTAGGCAGGAGCATGCCTGACATTTTCAGGGAACGGCAAAGAGGTCTGTTAGGGATGGAACAGGAGAGTAGAAGATAAGGTCAGAGGTCGGGAAAGAGGTGGAGAGAGAGAGATCAAAAGGGCCTTGTAAGAAACTGTAAGGACTTAAGATTTTTATTTTCAACAAAATGGAAACATAATAGAGTTCTTAGCAGAGAAACAAGATGATTGGTTTCTATTTCAAAAGGTCACTGTGGCCGCCACATGGAGAATAGACCACAGAGGAAAAAGTAGCAGCAGGGAGATGAGTTAGGCTACTGCTACAATTAATACAGATGAGACATAATGATGCGTTGGATAAGGGTAGTATGTTACAAATGGTGAGAAGTGGTCAGATTCTGGATTTAGTATGAAAATAGAGCTAAAGGGGCGCCTGGGTGGCGCAGTCGGTTAAGCGTCCGACTTCAGCCAGGTCACGATCTCGCGGTCCGTGAGTTCGAGCCCCGCGTCAGGCTCTGGGCTGATGGCTCAGAGCCTGGAGCCTGTTTCCGATTCTGTGTCTCCCTCTCTCTCTGCCCCTCCCCCGTTCATGCTCTGTCTCTCTCTCTCCCAAAAATAAATAAACGTTGAAAAAAAAAATTAAAAAAAAAAAAAAGAAAATAGAGCTAAAGAACATACTACAGATTGGAGGTGGTATATAGAAAAAACATATCAAGGGTTTTTTTTGCCCAAGGAACTGGAAAAAGAGTTGGATTAACTGAGATGGGAGTCTATGGGCAGATTAAGTTTGGGGCAGATGATCAAAAGTTCAATTTTGGACATATTAAGTATCAGACGAATATAAGACACCACTAGATATCAAGTAGGCAACTGGAAAGCAACAAGGATGAAGACATGCGTTTGAGAATCATATGTAGATGGTATATAAACCTTTGGGACTCCATGAGATCACCAAAGGAATTGGTTTAGATTGAAAAGCAAAGAAGCAATGACTGCACCAGGGGTATTCCAAAGCTAAATGGTAAGGGAAGATGAGGTTTTTATGGCACTTATTGTTACGTGACTTTTTATATCTTTCTGTCTTCGCCAATAAGTCAAGAACTTTACCTTGTTTGCTGCTTATCTCCATAATACCCAGGCCAATTTCTGGCATATCTAGACACTCACCATATATTTGTTAAATAAGTACATAAATATTATTGAGAATACACTAGAACATTTCCATTGTAGAACATAATCAACTTAATAAGGTTTGAGACCTCACTTAAAGGGATTTAATTACCAAAATTATTGTACATATATTAGACACAATCTCACTTGCAATTTAGTTCAGAGCATGTACCCCAACCTTAGCATAAAAGCAAATTCCAGTGTAACTATCGTAACAGAGTGAACACTAGCCAATATTACCAAGTACTATTCAATGTCATGCCAAGAAAGAAATACATACTTACAAACTAAATTATAAGTATTTACATTTACATGTAAGCATTAACATGGTGAAGAGCAGAATTCCTTGCAAAGAATTCAGTCACAGGGCAATAATCTTCAATTTTATTGTCAATATTTTTTATTTAAAATATCACTTGGGGGCACCTGGGTGGCTCATCAGTTAGGCATCTGACTCTTGATTTTGGCTTAGGTCATGATCTCACAGTTTGTGGGACGGAGCTCCACATCAGGCTCTGTACTGACAGCATGGAACCTGCTTGGGATTCTCTCTCTCTCTCTCTCTCTCTCTCTCTCTCTGCCCCTCTCCCACTTGCATGTGCACATGCACATACTCTCTCTCTCTCTCTCTCTCAAAATAAATAAACGTTTAAAATAAAATGTCATTTGAAAACTAAAACAATAGACACATGTAAAATCTGAATTTCAACATTTTAAATTATAATTTTTTTTTTTAATGTTTATTTATTTTTTGGGGACAGAGAGAGACAGAGCATGAACGGGGGAGGGGCAGAGAGAGAGGGAGACACAGAATCAGAAACAGGCTCCAGGCTCTGAGCCATCAGCCCAGAGCCCGACGCAGGGCTCGAACTCACGGACCGGGAGATCGTGACCTGGCTGAAGTCGGACGCTTAACCGACTGCGCCACCCAGGCGCCCCAACATTTTAAATTATAATTAAGACATCCCATGTTCATGGATTGGAAGACTTAATTTTGTTAAAATAGCAACATTACCCAAAGTCATCTACAGATTCAATGCAATCACTGTCAAAACTCCAATGACTTTTTTTTTTTTGCAGAAATAGAAAAATCCATCCTAAAATTCATATGGAATCTCAAGAGACACTGTAGAACCAAAACAATCCTTAAAAAGAAGTATGAAACTGGAGGACTCACACTTCCTTATTTCAAATCTTACTACAAAGCTACAGTAATGAAAACAATGTGGACTGGCATAAAGACAGGCATACAGACCAGTAGAATTGAATAGAATAGCCCAGAAATAAATCCTCATATGTATGGTCAAGTGATTTTTGACAAGGGTGCCAAGACCATTAGGTGGGGAAAGGACAGTCTTTTCAATAAATGGTGCTATGAAAACATGCAAAAGAATGAAGTTGAACCCTCTACCTAACACCATATATAAAAATTAACTCAAAAGGGATCAATGTAACTTAAAACAATAAAACACTTAGAAGAAAACATAGGTCAAAAACTTCTCAACATTGGATTTGGCAGTGATTTCTTGAATATGACACCAAAGGCATGCAAACAAAAAGCAGACAAACTGATCTTCATGAAAATTTTTAAATTTTGTATGTGAAAGGACACTATCCACAGGGGAAAATACAACCCACAGAATGGAAGAAAATAATTAAAAAACACATATCTGATAAGGGATCAATAGATCAATATCTACAATATACAGAGAACTCCTAAAACTCAACAATAAAAAACCTAAACAACCCAATTCAAAATGGACAAAGGATTTGAATAAACAATTCTCCGAAGAAGATATAGGAATGGCCAACAAGCATATGCAAAAATGTTCAACATTGTTAATTAGGGAAATGCAAATCCAAACTACAATGAGATACTACTTCTCATGTATTAGGATGGCTACTATCAAAAAAAAAAAAAAAAATAGAAAGAAACAAGTGCTAGCAAGGATGTAGAAAAATTGGAACCTTTGTGCATTGTTGGTGGGAATGTAAAATGGTACAGCCATGAAAACAAAATGAAGGTTCCTCAAAAAATTAAACATAGAAATACCATGTGACCCAGCAATTCTACTTCTGGGTATATATTCAAAAGAACTGAAGGCAGGGTCTCAAAAGATATTACGATATATTCATGTTCATAAGAGCATTATTCACAATAGCTAAAACATGGAAACATGGAAGCAACCTACATGTCCATCAACAGGTGAATGGATACGCCAAGATGTGGTATAGACATACAATGGAATATTATTCAGTCTTAAAAAGGACTCTACGTGCTACATGCGACAACATGGTGAACCTTAAAGGCGTTGTATTAAGTGAAATAAGCCAATCGCAAAAAGACAAATACTGTATGATTCCACGTATATGAGGTACTTCAGGTAGTCAAATTCTGTAGAGACAAAGAAAATAGTGGCCGCAAGGAGCTGGGGGAGGGAGGAAAGTGGGCAATTATATAACAGGTATAGAGTTTCAGTTTTGGAAAATAAAAACAATTACGAAGATGGATGGAGGTGATGGCTGCCCAAAAACATGAATGTATGTACCACCACCAAAGTGTACCCACAAAAATGGTCAGGACAGTAAATTGTTATATGTATTATATTTAACACAATAAAAAAGAAAATATAATTGAAAATAAAACAGAAGAGCAGCATACAAAATCTGAATGTCAACATTTAAATTATAAGTTGATTATATTCAGTCATACAAATTAGCATAAAATTACCTTCGTACAAAGAGAAAAATTAAACCTGAGGTGAAATAAAAATTTTTTAAATCAAGTTTTAAAAATAACAGTGCACAACTGATGATTGATTTGCATTGTCAAAATGTAATATAGGTTTTATTAGGTACACTCAATGCAAATGAAAGTGCTAGACAGCGGTGTAAACGTATGAACACAGTACACCCTTCTGTTTCTGAAACTGAATTGCTCTGCGAATGTGTTAAAGTTTATTACCTACCAGAAGACAGGAAGAAAAGTTACCTGTCACAGAAACAATATTAAGCAATCTTCTCATAGTCTGAGGACTTATGTCACTGAACCAGTCCTCAGTAACCAGCAGTTTCGTAAGATCGAAGGACATCTGCCGAGTGATGGTCCTCTGCATCTGCCTTCTTCGGTAAGTATCCTGAAGGAGTATATCACGAGGAGAATGAACCAATACTTGTCTGAGAACTTAAGGCCTTTCGAGAAATTAGTATATGTGTATGATGACAACAGAAATAATCCAAAGGGGAAGCTTGTACAGTAATAGTAGGCATTATTATTATTATTCTGAGGCAGAATCTTCACAGAACAGTTATAAAGTAATATCAGCAGCAACTGCATCAAATGCTGTGTGTTAGCTTCAGATGTATTTTGATTTATGGTTGTACAGTTACAGAAAATCAAATGCCTTACAGATTTGCAATAACCAGAATTATGTAAAGAGAATTCAATCAAACTTACAGAAGTTCCATCTTACTCAGAGTTCCTGTAGGAACCCGGAAATAATAAAGCAAACAACCTTCTGTCTAGTTTTAAGGATTCAGCATTTTCATGTTGAGGTAACGTGTGGCAACTACCTTCACATCTGCGTAAGAATTAAAGGCACCAAGGTGGGCAGAGTGGGGTAGAGAATCCCTTCTAATTCGAGGAGGAACGCGCACAACAGAAGCGAGCCCTCCTCTGAGGTCAGGAAACAAGGCAATGGTGGATGCGAGCACACGCAGCCCAGACGGCCAGACTCCCAGGAGACAAATTCAAAATGCTAAACTATACCCTCCTCTTAATTTGGTGCTATCAATTGTCATTCATGTTCATTTTGTATTCATACTTGTGTAGGGGAGAGACATGAAATCAAAACATCAAAATACCACTGAAGACACATTTTTTTCTATAAAATGTCCCAAACTGTGGATTTGGATTTTTCTCTTCAGAAAAAGAAAACGGTGCCAGCGCTAGCCCAGCTCAGCCATCCTTCAGCGGCACTATCGCTGTAAGTTACTGCAAGCGGACATCTTCCTGTGATACTCCCTCGATCTGTACAAAAGAGGGTTCTAGAAATGGGGCAGGACAGGGAAAACAAGAGCGTTCGAGGAGAAACCCAAGGTGGCCGGGCAGGACACAAAATCACTACGTGGGTGGAAAGAAAGGGTCACACGTCACAGACCCTTGGGAAGGAGGAAGGCCAAGAGGAGGAGCACGGGGCGCTTCCTCCCGGACAGCGATGGTGGCAACAAGCACCCGGGACGGACACAGCCTGATGTGGAACGAAACCCTGGAGGAGATCATCTGGGGAGCTTTCAAATCTCACTGAGAGATCCTGATTCCGCGGGCCGGAGGTCCGGAAGGGCAGCTGGGGACAGGTTAGGAGAGGACAGGGGCTGCTGCACGCTGCACAGCTGTGATGGGCTCCAGGGTCAGGCATTTCCTCAAAAACACCTGAAGCCGAAAGGAAACTCAATAATCCAATGTATCTGCCGAGCTGAATGCACTATCTACAGAAGATAATTTAAGCAGCATCACCCTAGTTCTATTTGAACAACAGCAGCACAAACATTTGGCTCAAAACAAATGGCATCTTACCCGTCTATTAAGGGCTGTCTTGCTACCAAGTTTAGTCATCTCTCCAAGGCTGTTTTGTGAAACTCTTCTGTCAGCATCTTCCTGTATCCCTTAAAGAATTTGTTGAGAGAGCATCATTTGTACCAAAATTCTGTTGTACGTGATATTTAAAGAGAAGTGAAATACTAACAATACTTTTCAAGGTAAAAGGCGAGTCACCACAAAAACTACATAACTACTTCAAACCCGAAGTACCTGAGGAACTTGATCTTTACCTGCAGTATCTGGGCACGGAATGTCCCCATTTGTTGTTGAAGTTACAAGAAATTTTCTTGCATTGCTCAGTCCACGACTATTAAGGAAAACGGGTAAATGAACTATATTGCGCATATAGTCGTGTCCGTTTATGTTTGAGTCACGAAGCACGCTATTCAGGTTCTGGTTAATTGCTTTTATAATAATATGTGGATCACTTGCAAAAATGGCAATGAATGGGCCTTTTGAAAACAGAACTCGGACCTGTGGTAGAAGAAATGTGTATTTATGACATAAATTTCATACTATCCAAAGTAACAAAAAGTCTCTTCCAGATCTATCCTTTAGTGACTATATTTTTAAATACTAATTGTTTATTAAAATATTATTCCATATGAAAACAAATTTCATTGAAGTCTTAATGTGATTTTTTACCATCTGACAATTTCTCACCATCTGACCGTGATAAAACCTTCAAAGAAAATAATTAACCCTGTCCTATTTTAAAATATTTATGGTCTACATAAAAGGAAAGAGCAACATACATGAGAAACAGTTGTGAAAACACATGAGGTGCTGGCCACACTGGCTCTCTCCGCAGTCATGCACCTCACAGAGCCACTGATGTGCCCTACTTTACCATAAACTACAAGTTCTGTGGGCTCCCTACTGTTGTCTCTGATTCTAACCGCAACTGGAGTCACACCATGGACTTTACAGCTACTCTCTTCATGGTCTCACACAGCCATTAGGCCAAAATTGTTTAAATCTGTTTGTGATGAAACACTGACTGGCTATGCTTCTACCCTAAAAAAAGGTTGTTTTTACAAAAGAAAAAGTACTATTCAAATTCCATTTGAGAAATTCACGAAGTCATTCAGCTGCTACGTATGTGACAATCAGGAGTTTGAAGATGACCACGACATACAGTATCCAGCATCTGGAGCACTTTGTCCTGCTCACAGGCATCTAGTCCGTCGATGATGACCACCAGCCTTGTCTGGTTCTGAGTGAAGCTGTCGATGGTCTTCGCCATCCTGGCCATCAATTCCACTTCACACTTAAGAACCTGCAGGAAAGAAAGGATAGAAGCACTGAAGTTATGAGAAATTTAAGCACATTTCTTAAAAACACTGATAGAAACTCACCTGACAGGAAGAAAAGAAATCCCAGGTCCTCGCTGCCAGTTGTGGCTCCACTGAAACTGCAGCGAGTGCCTCACAATTCATCAAGTGACTTTACATAAATTAGAGCATTTCACTCTTACAAGGGACATGGTCACATCCACTTTAAAAGGACAAACTGGGTTGAGTGACTTGCTTGCCAAGATCACATGCTCTGAAAGTCAAAAGACTAGGAACTGAATGCAAATTCAAAGGATTCACACTACACTTGGCTCCTGATAGCAAGTGACCTTGATGACAGGAAGGGGATACAGACATTGTACAAAGTCCCTTTTGGTTCTAAAAGTATGGTCCTATTTTATTTGTTTAATTATTTTATTAAAAAAAAATTTTTTTAATCAGGGAACCTGGGTGGCTCAGTCGGTTGAGCGTCCAACTTCAGCTCAGGTCATGATCTCACAGTTTGTGGGTTTGAGCCCCACGTGGGGCTCTGTGCTGACAGCTCAGAGCCCGGAGCCTGTTTCAGATTCTGTGTCTCCCTCTCTCTCTGCCCCTCCCCGACTGGTGTATGCACATATTCTCCCTCAAAAATAAATAAATAAATACATACGTACGTGAATTTTTTTTTTAATTTCTTTTTGAGAGAGTGAATTCGTGCAAGCACATGAGCCAGGGAGGGGCAGAGAGAGGCAGGGGACAGAGGATCCCGAGCAGGCTCTGCACTGACAGCACAGAGCCCAGTGTGGGGCTTGTACTCATGAACCATGAGATCGTGACCTAAGCTGAAGTCAGACACTGAACTGACTGAGCCACCCAGGCGCCCCTTTATTTTCTATGTTTTAGTGGTGCTTGCTTCCTCTACCAGGCTCTGGGGAGCCCATATCATCAGGCAGGACACTTGTTACTATTGGGCAGGTGACCTGTAGAGCAATCTCCTAACTCCTAGGAGTATCTTATACAAGTCTATTTTATAAAAATCTGTATTGTTTTCATTTTTTCCACTTTAAATGTACATTTCCATAGGGCAAATCAGGAATAAACCTAAAAACAAGTGCACCACTGTGACCCTTAGAGAGCCCACTCCCTAAAGCCCCACCATCATGGTTAGGGGAGCACACTCACACTACAATTACCTTCTAATGACCCATGAGTGCTTTACCTTCATGAATCCTTCACTTTTCAGCTTGTGCAGTTTGGAGGCAGCATTATGGAGGCGTTTCCTTTGAGAATTCAGGAGAGAGTCCAGCACCTGCCACCACGTACGACAGTTCAGCACGAGGGCCAACCCCACTATCGACGCAATAGATATGAGGACGGCATTCACCGTCAGATGTTTTGGGTCAACTCTGAAGATAGCCAGGAGGGTAATTCCAGCAATAATGCAGCCAAAGATAAAAAGGAAGATGACAAAAGATGGGAGGCAACACGTTTTTTTCCATTTCTTTTTGCCTGCAAGACAACAGACGGTTTTAACAATTATTTACACACCAAGTGTCTAGGAAGTCCTAACCATTACAGTCATGGCATAGGGATTTCTGATGTTCATTCATGTTTTCACGGAAATGCCCTGAACACTCATCCCATCCTCAACCCCGACACACACACAAAGACGTAGGAGGGACGTCCTACCCTGTGTATCTTCAGTCTTGAATACTCGAAAGAGCCTGGTTGCCAAAAAGCCAAACTCTCTCTCACAAGCATCCGACAGAGTCGCGATCATTTCAGCCATCGATGTTTCTCCGCCTACACTGGACAGCCTGTTGTAATCTGTAAACAAAAACCTTGGGGGGAAAAGGGGAATAAACTGTTACTCAGGTATCTAAAGAAACAAATAACTTCCACATACATCATCTCTGTATCACTTACCCTACATTTTCTTAATGTCCCTTTTAAAATACTGTGTTCAAAATTCTGAGGAGGGGGGCGCCTGGGTGGCTCAGTCGGTTAAGCGTCCGACTTCGGCTCAGGTCATGACCTCCTGGTTCATGAGTTCGAGCCCCGCGTCCGGCTCTGTGCTGACAGCTCGGAGCCCGGGGCCTGCTTCGGATTCTGTGTCTCCCTCTCTCTCTGCCCCTCCCCCGTTCTCTCTCTCTCTCTCTCTCTCTCTCTCTCAAAAATAAATAAAAAATAAACATTACAAAAAATTTTTTTAATAAAATAAAGTTCTGAGGAGGAAAAAGGACTTGTAATTAGGGATCGACCACTTCTAACATCTTACATACTTGTCCCAGGAAAAGGCAATAACCAAAGCTAAATGTAGCAGAGTTATAGGACGTTAATTCTCACTGAAAGCAGCAGGGTAGCAAGAGGCGACAGAGTTCCGACAAAGCATCAGACGTCTGTCTCAACAGGTCACGGGCACGCTGACTGAAAAGGACGCAGCCAAAAGAGCTGCCCAAACAAAGTGTGCTAAGTGCCAACAGAGAGATCAGAAAGTGGAGAGAACCCTACAGTTGTTAAGAATTAAATGCCATTTCGAAACTCAAGTTTTAGAATGCTTTATTTACAGCTTAAACGTCTCCCAGGGATTTAAAAATAAGTTGTAAAATATGCTTTTCACAGTTGTTCTTTGAAATAACTGAGTTGTTTGCCTCCTGACCCTCTGGGTGGATATGATTTCTGTATCTGTTCCTTTCTCCCCTGCCATCCCTAAATTAAATGTCCATCTCAACACAGTAGATAAGCAGTGCTTTCAAATACAATCTAAGACCCCACTGTACTATACTGTGTGACCTTGTTTTATGCTATTTTAATTGTTCAGACTTTAAAAAAAATACCATCTCATTAATTTAAAATATATTTTCTGTAAAAATGTTTCCCCCAATTATTTCATTCTACTCTGTATGTTTTCTTAACTTTTTAATTTTACCTTTTCATCTATAAATCCTTCTCCTAATACCTAATCATATATGCTAATTACACATAAGTTTTTGCCTTTATTTTTGTCTCTTATATTCATAGCTTCAATGTTTCATCTGGGTTGGCCCAATTATTTTCCTCTTAGATTACACATTTTATCTTAAAATAATTTTAAAATTCTTAATCATTTCATATACATTTAAATATTCTGCTGATTCCTATTGAATTCCTTTGGCTTTCAATTCTGTACTTTGTTTTTCACTTGACGTTCCCCTGGAGCCTTCCACTTTTCCTTTATTCTTGACATACATGTTTTCCACCATTTCTGAACTGTTCTCTCATGCATTTCCTATTTGATAGTAATAACTTTAGACAGGCAAGTCAATATATTTCCACAGGCGAGAAAAGAGCTGCTCAGAGAGCGTGCTGTGTTGCCACGGTTACGTGCTAAAGCAAGGGGATGCCAGGACCCATCCTAGGTCCTGCACTCTCTTCAAAGTGTCCCCAAAGGATGGAAAAGGTGTCATAAACGGTGGGGGGGGGGAGGGGGGGAAGGGGAAAGGTTTATACTCTGAAAAAATTTGCTAAATCAAAGTTAACCAGGTTTTTTTAGGATAAAAGGTCTCCGATCCTTTTATGTACAAGAGGAAGGTACGACATGAAGTGTCTCTCAAACCCACTCAACCAGGACATGTTGTTTTATTTCTCACATAAAAAATTCACGAAACCAATGTTTTTTGGAACGTACGCTGAGAGATGAGGCATTTTTGCTCAAACACTTCATTTTTGCTTCATCTTATCCAAAGCTACTTTCATCACGGGACCAACTCACCTCACAGGTAAAGCTCTCGTGGTTTGCTCCGGCAGCTCAGGCGGGTTCACAAACATCAACTTGAGGAGCAGCTCCAAGTAGCCGATGTGTCTCGCCAATCTGGTGCTGAGGACCCAGGCCCAATTCCAACTCTCTCCTTCCCTCCGGCCACCAAAGTAAATGACGACTAAAAAGTAAACGATTAAGCAATTATTTGACAGTCATTACTCAAGCAGCCTCTTTTCTCAAACTGTCAAATATCAAGCAACGGGAGGTAGGCGTACATGACTTTCCCTGGTGCCAGGCTATCTCCTAGCCTCCTCAAAGGAGTCCTCAACCGAGTAACCGACATAGAGAAGGTACGTGAAAAACGGAAAAGTAAACTCACTCAAATATGACGTAAGAAACACAATCAGAAAGAGAATGCCTTAAACAGAAACATATCACTTAGTTCAGACTCAAATGTACATGACTTGGGGTTTATCATTTTTTTACACCACCGGCTCCTCTGACAGGGAATCTATTTCCTCTTTTACAACTGATGATATCCCCCAAGAACAGGACTACGTTTTATTTACTTTGTTTTTAGATAAAATAAAGATCACAGTCATGATCAAAATGCCCGAGAGCATGCCAAGTGACGGCTATGAAGACTCGCTTTCAAACAAGACTTAAAAACAGTAATTCATTAACATATTAAAAAGCGAGTGTAACAAATTATAGTTCTGCTTCAATATTAACGAGCGCTCCACCAGCGTTTCCAGCTACTCCGGCCAGGTGGTGGACAATGTTCCTCTGGGCCAACTTCTAAAATAGCAAAAAGATCCCTTTTCTCACTTAATTATGAAAATCACTTAGAGGAGGGATATAGATAATATTTAAGAACTATAGATAATATTTTATATTTTATAAACATAGATATATTTAAGAGATACAGATACTCTTTTAAATAAAACAATGAGTTTTGACATTGTCTCTATTTTTGGGAAAAAAACAAAAAGCAAAAACTTACTAAAAAATATATATAAGAGAGCCAAGAAGCTCAATGATATTGCTATTCCAAGATTCAGGTCAACTGTAAAAGCAAACAGTAAACCGAGCCCTCCACAGAGCAGCAAAGTCAGAAATACTATAAGCCAGGAAAACTGAAAAAGGGGCTCGATCTGTTGTCCGGCAAAAGTCTTCATTTCATCTGAAAGAGAAATAAGAAGGCCTCAGTCCTGTTTTGTTTAAGAAATGCAACTTTTTTTTCCTCCAGGTTTTTACTTAAATCCAGTTAGTCAACATGCAGTGTGATATTAGCTTCAGGTGTAGTTTTTTTCTTTCCCTCCAAGTTTTTTAAGAAATACAACTTCAAACTGAATTTGAAATGTTCACATTTTCAGTATAGACATATATCGGGCACTTACTAAACCCCTATATAGAGTGCTGCTACTTAACCATTTTAGCCAAAGTTCTCCTCAGATAAGCCTCCAAGCCTCCTTCCCTAGGGGCACACCCACCCTGGTCTCACCTGCTCTCCTGCTGCACACTGACGGTACACACATCCTTTCATATATTCCCATTTGTCAAGATTTTGTTGATATTTATTTTTTGTGGTTTGTATTACATAAGCAACAAGGTATTATTTCCATGCCCAAAACTGAAAACATTACTTTGCTATGTGTCTTCAAACTACACATCATGACCCTTCCTCTCTCCTCCTCACCCCTTCTCCCTCCAATCACATTTAAGAATCAAGGTGTGTGCGGAGCCCAAATGAGCCCTAAACAAGTCATTCCTTCCACAAAACCTGGTAAAAAATTAATAGGTAATACTGAAACCTGCCCTTGAGGAATGAGTAAGATTTTGCCAATCAAAAGGCTGGTGGGGGCCGGTGGGGGGGGGGGTGGGGTTGTCTATGAAGCTCCTAACAGAGGGAACAACCCAGGAAAAGTGAAGACTTCTTGCAAGAGCAACAGCCCTTGTGACTGTGCCCACAGCACGGGGCCCCACGAGAGGCAGTGCTGGTGGGCGTGCCATGCTAACTGACAAGTTTAAGACGGGCTCTGAATAGGACGATTATAAATACCACATGCAGGGACGCCTGCCTGGCTGGCTCAGTGGGGGAAACAGGCAACTCTTGATCTCGGGGTCGTGAGTTCAAGCCCCAAGTGGGGCATGGAGCTTACTTAATAAAAATAAAAATAACAATAAATAGCACATGCAGAAAATCTGCTACCAAGGGGTCTTAAGCGTATTATAACACAACTGGATTTTGTTTTAGGAAGAGAAATCAAATGATCGTGTGCAGGATCAACTGGAGGGCAACAAAACGTTCAATGTAGTAAACTGTGTGACACACACACCCATACATAAAAATCTATTTTGTCTTTACTTCAGAAAAAACACCGAAGGAAACCTCACTATACATACAGACTTTGTACAAGCATGCCCTTTACCTTCTAGTTTCTTGAGTAAGAAGGATTTGCCACTTCCCCACTGTGCATACAGCCCCACACAGATGGGCGGCTGCATGGTAGGCTCACTGAGAATGTCTGCCAGGGCACTGCTATACAAGTCGTAACCGAGCATGTCACCGTCGGTCTCAGTAGGAGACAAGTGTCCTGTAATTATAAACACACCATTTCCTTACATTAAAAACAGACACTACCACTAGAAAGCAACATTAAGTCTCATTTATCGATTATTGATTTCATTAGGAAAAAAGCCTTATTTTAAATGGTTAGACCTGTGTAATAGGTTCAAAGGTACTAATTCTTAAAAACCGTATTTCATTGAACTTAAGATACCTACCTGCTTACTGTAAGATGCATCATCTGAGGGTTGATGGGGGGTGGGAGGGAGGGAAGGGTGGGTGATGGGTATTGAGGAGGGCACCTTTTGGGATGAGCACTGGGTGTTGTATGGAAACCAATTTGACAATAAATTTCATAGATTGAAAAAAAAAAGATGCATCATTATCATGTACAACTAAGAAAGAAAAACGTGTTGCCAAATTATGACACAATGCTCTCTCATCCATCAATTGTAAGACACATTTCAATTTCAGAGATGTTAAAATGGGGAACAATGTACATTTTAGAATCAATAAAATGATTAAAACACAAACTAGCACATAGGAATAAATTTAATATGTGCAATACCTATAGAAAGAAGCTATTAAAAGTCACTGAAGAATACAGTAATCCGAGAAAGAGAGACATCGTATGGCTCCAGGCAGAAAGGTTCGATGACTTCAAGACAGCAATTCTCACCAAATTAATTTATCACTTTGAGACAATTCCAATCAAAATCCCACAGAAATTTTTGAAAAATTGAAAAGTCAGAACACGTAAGTATAG